GATTTCCCCTTGGTGAATCCATGCTGACTACTCTTGAGCACCTTCTTGTCCTCCATGTGCCTGGAGACAACAGCCAGTATGAGCCGTTCCATCACTTTTCCGGGGACGGAGGTGAGGCTCACTGTCCACTGTAGTTGCCTGGGTCCTCCTTCTTGCCTTTTTTGAAGACCGGCATGACATTGGCCTTCTTCCAATCCCCTGGCACCTCCCCTGTTCTCCAGGATCTTTGAAAGATGATGGAGAGCGGCTTAGCTATGACCTCTGCCAGCTCTCGCAGCACTCTGGGGTGCATCCCATCAGGGCCCATGGATTTGTGGGTATCAAGGTTCCTTAGGTGCTCTCTGACCCAATCTTCCTCTACCCAGGGCGAGTCTTCCTCTCTCCACACTTCTTCTCTTATCCGTAGGGCCTGGGACTCTAAAGGGCTGCCCTTGGTGAACCCTGAAGCAAAGAAGGCATTCAGCAACTCTGCTTTTTCTGTGTTATTTGTAACCAGGGTGCCCATCCCGTTCAGCAGCAGACCCACGTTTTCCCTCATCTTCCTTTTGCTGTTAATATATTTGAAGAAGTTTTTCTTGTTATTTTTAACATCCCTTGCCAGATTAATTGATGTGTGAAAATATATATTGAATGAAACCAAGGTAGAGGTTTGCTCTGCCACTGGTAAGGTTCAGTTAAGATTATTCCTGAACCTCTCTTTCTTTACTGAGAGTAACTAATAAAGAGTTCACAAGACAATTAATAACACTCAATAAAACTGTCATGCATTTTTGTATGTCATATTTCTAACTTATGTAATCAGGTACAGAAGGAAGTCACAGTAAAGGTAGCATTTTGCTAAAATCTGGTGATGTTTTCACAACCGTGAAATAAACAAAAAAGAAAAAAAAATGGAATATCATACCATATCATCCACCTGCTCTAACTAATGAGAACAAGACTTCTCAATAAAACAAAATGAGTTAATAAGTCATTGGTGTCTGTCACCGTGCAATATCATCATTTCCAAGACATTTCTCTCACCGTTTCTATGGACCATTCAAATGATAAATTCTTTTGTCATTCTCTAGGACAGAAGAACAGATGTGGTGAGTTAACAGGCCCTGAGGACTATGAGATAGGATTCAGTGAAGAATCAGCCTGTTCCAAGCCAAGGACTATACAAAAGCCTGCAGCAAAAGTGACATGCTTTGATCTTTGTTTACTCAAATATATAAAGAAAACAAAGAAAAAAGAAAGTAGATTCATTTGCAGTGCTGGGATTCAAAAGTAACTTTTCTGAAGTTAACAGAATCACAGATATAATTAAAATGTTTCTCAATCTCTTCTGTCCTCACAATACTTAACATTACATCCACCTATTTTTTGAGGGAGAAAAAAAAACTCTTGGGAACTTTTTTAAAAAATACTCACTGAGAACCAAAAATTTAAATTCTTATCAGAAAATTCCAGCCGCTGAACCTCATGAAATAGGATGTTTTGCTAATCAATACCAAATAAAACCCCATAACCTTAGTGGGTAAGCTTAGTGGTTTTCCTAATTATCTGTCATTTACTTTTCCCAACTGAGTACAGTAATCTGATCATCAACAGCACTGGAGCTTTATACAAAAAGTTTTTTATCTGACAGATACATTTTAATTATTTTCATTTCTAGAACAGAGATTCATGGTATTAAATATCTGGAGGGGAAAAAAAAGTAATACTTTATATGAATAGTGAATATTTGATGCAAAACATATAACAAGATATCAATTTTGAGAAGACAGAGTGACAGACTGGAAAATTGCCAGAACCAGATAGCAGCCATCTATACAGCTCTCAAAATGTCTTGTAATAGGGAAAAGAGATAAGGCACATTGAATGCTGACATTACAGGAAATTAAAAAAAAAAAGAAAGAAAAAAAGAAAAAAAAAATCAAACACACAGTTCCAGCAGACTATAAAGAGTTAAAAGCCAGTAAGCCTAACATTTATAACATGTAAACTGGTAAAACCTGGAACAGAAAGAGAATAAATGGGATATGTTGAGAGGAGTTCTGTCAGAAACTGATATTACATCTCACACTGGATTTTTTTGACAGAATCAAATAATGGATTCCTTTTTCCCTGTACACACATGGATTCTGGTTAATACAATAATAAAAATTTCTTAGCACAATAATGCAATGATACAAATGCCTTTTGATAAAAAAAAAAAAAAGTCCCTGCACACTGGAAGCAAGTTTGTTCTCCCCAGCCACCTCAAAAACAACAAAAAAAATGGAATGACTCTTCCCTTTCATCCTTCCTTTTTCATCACACTGAAAAACAGTGGTGCACAAGGGTTGAATTTAGATTTTGGAGATATGTAGCAGAATGGTGTACTACAGAGAATTTTTGGTTTCTTTTTTAAAGTACTGTTTCTCTGTGTCTGTGTAAAGTTCTGAATTGCTAGGGTTTGAGCAACAGGCCTGAGTCAGGGTTGGCTTACAGATGAATATGACATTGCCTTTGTAGAAGCACACAAAACTCACCTGTAGAACTGCTCATGCTAACCTGCACATAGGCTTATGAAACTGTAACTTTTGTAGGCTCCTGTGCAAGTGGTTTTGACCTCGAAGGGAACCCTCCCATCCAAGGGCTCTGGCCAAGGCCCGGTCCCGGAAGACAGGGAAAGCATGTCCCACCAGATGTTACCGCTCACAAAGAAAACGCAAGTTATCGCCATTTGCTGATTTGGCTCTATAAAAGCTGGACCCTCTTGGAGGACTTTGGAGACCTCACTCACAGGCGGACAACAACTGCCTGCAACAACTGCAACAGGGGCTCCCCAGCGATAGCAGATCTGGATAATGGTAACATATTTAGGCAATTGGTGATGTATCTTTTTCTTAAATACTATTCTCTTTCTCTTATAGTAATGGTTAGGTGCATTATCTTCCTCATTTTGTCTGTCACTAAAACTGAGCGTGTAGTAAGCTTATTGTTTTGTTGAACGTATCATTCTGTACTGCCTTAATATTAATAGTGAAATAAGACCATTCTTTCAGTGGGGTCTGTTTCTGTTGCATCCCCCACCAATTGCCAAAACAAGTTCAACCTGAATTATGATGCCCTAAAAATGCCAGACATACCTATATGCTATTAAAAGCACTTTTTAAATGAAAAGAAATATAAACAAAATACCTAGATTTTAAGAGGGAAAAGGGAAGTCATGTTTAATCTCCTATAGCAGCCCAAAATATTCAGTTAGTTAGTTACTTAGTTATTCATTTATTACACAAATAAGTAACTACAACTGAGGTGGTGAAGAGCTCCCTTTTCATACTGTCATGAGAACTCCATTCCTGGTTTAACAAAAAAAAAAAAAAAAAAGATTTTTCCATCAATCTATGTTTTATACTTTAATTGCTTAATTTATCTGAAAGCACTTGTGCATTTCACATTTTTTCAGGGGGTTTGTGACTCACATAAAATCATATGTTTAGCAACAATATTCATTTACTGAAGACATTTATGTATATAGAAGTAAGAAAAAAATAAGTATTTTCAGCAAGTGCAAATCTCAGAATAACAGATTCTCCTTCTACTTTATGCAATTATTTTTTTGCTTTTGTTTGATTTTCTCCACATCCCTCCAGTTTCTCCAAGGACTATACTTGACTGAGCAGAACAGCTGGAGTGCCAATCTTTACTGCTGTGCATGTTATTTTCTGACAGTCCTGAAGGGGGTAGGATTGCACAAAGTACAACTGCTTCTCCTCTTAAGCACGGTACGTGCAGGACACATTCAACTTTGAAACTGTAAGATTCATTGTCTTTGTCCATTCCAATTTATCAACATATTAAAAGTTAGGGACGGGAAAGGGACTGATAGAGTTCTCTCACCTCATTTCCTCTCAGCCTTCCAAAGAAGTTACCTTAATACATTCCTGCACAATTCATGACTGAGTGAGCACCCCATAGATAAAATAGCATAATTACCGTTTCAGACAAGGCAGTATTTCTCAGGAAACTACATCATGTACTAGGTACACAAATTTCACAGCAAAACACCTCTATATATCTATATTTCCACACAAACCTTATCCCTATGTGAACAATGTTCTCCAATTAATCAACCACAGCAGCACTCATGATATGAGCCATTCCCACCAGTCAGACATTTCAAGTAAATGCAGCACCACACATGTGAGAATCAACTATGATGTACAAATGTTAACAGGTATAGAAACTCCCTAACCTAAAACTTCATTTTCAAATACAGCATTAAACAGAACGCCAGCAGAGACCTGGTACAAACTAACAGCAATGCTGTTTCAATCAATGTACACTATGTAGAAACAGTTAAAACTATTTTGTAGCCATCTCTTAAGAAGCAACATCCAAAATTACCTGAATTCATTTTTATGTATTTCTGCTATTTTCTTCTCGAGTTTTTGTGACTGCTTGGGAAAAATCTTAAAGTCGCTGATGTAATTTTCTGGGTGTTCATCAGGATCATAATCCCCAAGTTCAGCTAAACAGATCAAAAAATACATAGCAAAGTTATCTAGTAAGAAAAAAAAAGGATATAGTAAGCATAGTGTAATTCTGAAGACTTACAAGTTCAGTAAGATGTAGCATTTCTAAAGGAAGTCTATTTTGAGAGCTGTGAGTTAACTGAACTGCAAAATCCTTCTAATTGCCCCTGCAACCAATGACTTTCAAGCTAACTTTGTGTTTTATTAACTGGAGAAGTAAATTGCAATTCTAAACTATTTAGGGCAGAAATATGCTCTGAAAAAGCCCAGGCATACAAACCATTCCTTTACACTATTCAGCATGATGCTACTAAGCAAAAACAAAACAGTGCATTCCAAGCTATTCTCTTTTCTCAATACTGTTTGCTTTAACTCAGCTCTAGCAGAAACACACAGGCTGCATCATTATTGAAGGTTGCTCACAGTATTTGGTGCCTCCTCAAAAAATCATACCTCTTATAGCACATAGCAATATAGCAATATAGCATTTGGTCTCTGTTCTGCTAAAACAGTCTCTTTTTATAAGCTTTAGGCTCAATCTACTTTAGGATATACTGCCTTATAACACATTAAGCTTAATTCATCTTAAGGCAGAATGTGGTTTCATGCATATGAAGTCCCTAATTAGACAGTTAATTATTTTTTCTGTGAGCAATCCCAATTACATATCTGAATCTGGCCCTCAGGAAATGATGCGGAAAGCGGGGAAGATCTCTTTTTCATTGAATTGTACAAACTATATTTTCCAGGATTTCCATCATCATCAAACTATTTCTAGTCAGGAAAGTAAAAGAACATAATTTTGCTTTCTATATAATTTGCATCTACTATTGATGTTACACTTTTTCACATAACTGCTAAGACAATTTTTTTTTGATCATTCAATTTTATTATTTTTATTTTTTAATGGTTCGTTTTCTTTATATTGGCCAAACAGTTGGATGTTTTTTTCCATACAGGGAAATGATACAACAACAAAAAAAGGCAAGTTATTGCTAGTTTTACCCCATTCTAGTTTGGAACTTCTCCTGATACTGAACTATTCCAAGATTTATTAGGTATTTCACAAAATCCTGCCATTTATACTTACCTTGAACAATGCAGGCACCCAGGTACGCAGCATCCGAAAAAGAACACAGCAGACGGCCATGGAAAATGTCCCTTTTTATTTGTAGATATAAGAGGTATCTAAAATGTTATTAAAAATAAATAAATAAGTAAAGTATGGCATCTTTTGATAACAGATTGAACTTAGCACTGGAAAACCATTAAGTCAGCTATTCCAGATCTTTCTCTTAATACTTAAGTGGCAGGAAAGAAAAAGATAAAGTGTAACCATAGGAAAAATTAAATTCTGGACAAGAGTGTTCTCATGAAAAAAGAAACAGTGACAGCAGAAGTGACAACACTCACAAATAGAATAGGATGGAGATACTTATCAGAATCATATAGCTCTTACAAAACTAATCAGCTACACAAGTAATGCAAACTAGGGTGTTCACATCCTTTTTAAAAAAAAAAAAATCTGGGGTGAGTTCTAGCTGAAATATGAGGCAAAACAGCCTCCCTGAGGCACAGCAGTGTAATGGGGCACTAGAAATGTGTCTGGGAGACTTCTCAGGTTCCCTTCGTCTCGCAGTTGTTCACCTCACAGAACTGAGGAGAAAAGAACTTGCTCTTAGTTGCTGTCCTCTGCCTCTTATAGCAGCACTTCTTAGAGCAGGAGGAGAGATGCAGCTGCAGGGACCTCACTTTCTCTTTTGCTTGCTGCCTTCAGGAGCAATCTCCCAGGAAAACCCCGGATTCGGTGCCATTCCACAGAAACATCCTTCCCTGCTGTTGGGCTCCCTGCAGCTATCCCATTCAGCAACTCACTCCTCTGGGAAAATTAAGAATATAAGCCTAGCTTCAGCTCAGATAAATCAACTATCCACAGGATTTGAGAAGATCCAGCTCCTACTGCAAGTCTTCAGGACATGGCTCTGCTGCAGGTCCATTCCAACTGAAACTACACTGTAGCCTATAAAAATGATCTTTGCAAATAACACTCATGTAAGAAACATTTTGCCCAAGGAAATTATTTGGTTGTGTGTGCACCACAAAATCCTGTACTAACTCTGTATCTGAAAGTTTACAGTGACTTCTAGATTATAGCAAGAATGAAAGTATTATTTGAAGGATGGTAAAAATCTGTCTCTTTTTCCTGGATTATTACTATGTGTCACACAAATTCAAGACTGTATCATTGCAAAAAATAACTTGTACTCAGTGCGAACATTTTCCTTCACAAAATTACACAGTATAAGTTGCTACGCAAGTTTTGTTCTTCAAAGCTTCATTTTCACTATACCTTTCCTCCTGCAATTAGCAATAACAGCTCACTAACCCATTTCTGTAATTTGGCACTGCTACTATGAAGGTAGTTCCTGGAAGAGATTATTTTCAGCAGAGTGAACTGAAGGCCTCAGTTCACACACACACACAAAACTCCACTGCAGTGACACCCTATTAGAAAACACTTGGTATATCCATACAGATATCCACAGAACGTGGGCAAATGAGCAGTCTCCAATTCTACAACTTTTAATAAGTCCTGCCAGCACGAAAATCAGGCTGTGATTCCGCAGGGAGTGAGCATTAGCCCAAGGCCAAGCTGAAATTAGTTTATTGGGAAGAGCTGAAAAAAGCTGCCTATGAAAGGGAGACTTCTGAGACTTCATGGCATGGCTTGTTAGCCAAATCAGAAGGTCAACAGACCCTCAGAGACCCTGTAAATTGATGGTTTCTCTGAAATGAGAATATGTAAACGGGATTCTTGAAAAGCAGATTAGCCCACTGTTCCTGAATTGCTTTTACAGACATCAACCTATTAGAACTAAAATTCTGAAGTCACACATCTCAGAAGTTTAGATGGGCATAAAAAGAGTGTAACCATGGAAATACAGCAGAGGACAACACTAGCAAAACCCCTAATACCTTGTCATAGTGTCTTTTAAACTCAACATTATACTACAAGAACTAATTCCTTAATTTACAATTTCCATTTAAGCAGCAGATTGGTACATAGCAACAACATCCAAAATTGTAAATTTCTTTGACAAGTGCATACATTCTTAACAGTCCTTTGATATTTCAAAGGTAAAACAATATTGCAAGAAACATTACACTGAACAAAACTAATATAAATCAAAACATTTCTCAGTCATTCCAGTTCTGACTTTCGAATTGCATAAATGGAAGTAAATGATACATTCATTAACTAGACTACGAATACACTGCGAATATTTTGATATTAACATGAAGGAAAATCTGTTCTGCAAGGAATTCCTTCCTGTATGAGAGGATTGGGCACTCATACTTTTTAACTTGACACATCAGTCACAGGCCACCAATTTCATAGCACAACAGAGAATGAAAAGCAGAAAAATCTTCAAGAATTACCTCAAAGCATCTATTCAAAAAGTCTGTCAGCCTGCCATACTTTCTCTCAACTGCTGTGCAAGAAAGCACAAGTTAGATTCCTGTAGTGAGATGGTATGGATTTTCTACACCCACACATGCATTATGCATTATTATGTAAGAATAAGCCTGAAAACACACACACATACATTCACTACAATACAGAACAACTGGTTTTAATATAGAAGGATTATATTAAAAGACCTAAATACAAGAGTGCGTGAGAGGTCACTACAGTATTACCTTAATGCATTTAATTACAACAGCAGCAGCATCACAGTCTCCACAGAGTAAGGGCAAAATCAAGCTCATTTTTATGCGTTCTACTAAAATTCTAGGGGAACAAGGATAGTTAGATGGCAGTATGCATGCTTCTGGTATTTCTAAGCAAACAGTTCACTGCTGACCAGGATCAGAGACCCTCAATATCCTTATCACATTTCTGCATCCATAATAGTCTCCCATTTCTCTGTGCAAACTTGAATAAAAAAAAGCATGTTTTACACTCTTTGTTTGTTTCTTTGCTTTTAAATAGTTATTAATAACTAATAGTTTAAAATGTCTCCAGTATTTCATTTCTCTTTTAAGGCTGGGATGAATTTTTCGCATCAGTCATTTTAAAAAAGACAAAAAGTTAGGTCAACTTTCTGTTTGCAGTGCTAAAGAAGTAGATATGAATACATTATACCATATTCTTGCTTAGGTTTGTTCATAATATGAAAGCATTGAAACAAAACATTTTTGGAAGGTTTTTGGTATTCTCATGATAAAAACAGTCTCTACAATTTACAACTAAACTGTTAACATGCATTTTTGTAAATTACATAAAGCTAATAAAAATATGTTATTCACTCCTCACAAAATAAATCATTACCTCTTCTTTTTTCAGATTTAAAAGTTACAAAAAAGTCTTTAATATCTTTTTCATAACATTCACTTAGCACATTTTTCTTTGTTTTTTCTCCCTAGTATATCAGAGAATATTTCCTTTCTTTAAAGGAAACGTACTCGTTTTTTGCTGAGATGTGTTAACACACTTTAGAAGAAGCAGAAGATACGTAACCAGAACAGCATATAAGGCACAGTTTTAGGAAAAAGAACAATAATGCCCCAGAACTCATTTCTTTTCAATGATAGTCCTGGGATGAGAGAGCTGTTGTTGCATAGGCTAGCTTCTGTCGTCAGAGTGGTTAATCACAGTGCCATCACCATAGCTGCCAGTCATCTGTTTTTGCTTCAAAAAATATAAACCCTAACACTTGCTACTGTAAGGAAGAATCTCTGTTTATTTTTTTCCTTTAAACAATCTGCTGTTTTTTTTTTTCACTGTAGGGCTTTTTCAGGCAAACTGTTCCAATATCTTCCTATTATATTCATAAATTTTCTGTCAAAAATGCTCAAGTTTATTTTTTCTAAGGTTCTATAATTCTAAATTGTCACACATATTTGCCTCCTGAAATCTGAGTAAAGTCACACTCATCCTGTCTTAAAACATCCTTAAAAGGTCACAACTTGCACTTCCTTGTGATACTACCAGGAATTATCTCACTTCTGGAACAAAGTCATCTCCAGCAGTCAAGTGGAAAAGAGGCTCAACACTCACTTCTCAGTGGAGACTGAAGAAGCTGTTGGCTGGGACATGAGGGAGGCACTTAATTGCTTAAGAAGGACCAAAGGATGCCCATGCAGATCACAATCAGAGTATAAACGTCTTTTTTTCAAAAGACCACCCACAAAACCAGTTATACATAAAGCAAAATAACTAGGGATGGAACAAAACTAGAATGATAAGGAGTTCTTTCAAGTGAAAGCTTAGACTTGAAATCAAAGTTGTAAACTTTGTAAATGCGTTGGCTCAGCCCCAGACACTTCTTGTAATCTCAAGGTAATAATTTATATGGCAGCTCAGTAAAGGCCTATAAACGCATACCTGGCTACTGACTTCACTGAGGTTTATGTAAACTGCCTACATGTACAGAAATAACTTACAGAACCAGATTTATTTTTGCCATTTCTTGTGTCTTTCCACCACATCTATGTTTTCCAAGCTATGGCATGGCATATTAACCTGATTTACAGTCCTGTAAGTCCTCAGGCTTACCAACAAGCTACAGCTTCTATAGCTTCGTGGCTCTCCATTACAGTCATGAATGTCGGTCATTGGAATAAGCTCTCTTCCATCTATTAACTATTTGTTATACAAATGACTTGAGCAACTCCAGATTCGACAACCCCTTTGCACAGCTGCTGAGGAAGGGTCTACAATGCCCATACTCATTTTCAAGCAGACTTTATAAAACATTTCCAAAAGTTTAACTGATAGTTATTAAAACATTCTTCGAGGCAAGAAAACGTTTCTATAGTTAAAACTTGTGATTTGTCAATGCAGCAGCTGCCCATTTTATTCCAGTAACAAGCATTTTGTTGTGTTGTCCTGAAGCATTCCAAGGTGATAGACATGGCTGTGTTGAGAAATCCAGGAATGTGTCAAGAGATTTTATCTGAGCATTGGAACTATCTTTGACCGTACTACTCTCTTCCAAGCTACTCTGCATACACAGGTGCAGAGCAACAAAGTGCAGATGCCCAGGTTTATAATAATCCTGGATTGTGTCATCCATGTTCCCCATAGGATATGGTAAGGACAAATGGCACCATTAAATTAAAAACAAAAAAAAGAAAAAGTGGAAGACAAATTCATGACTAATGGATCAACAAAGCAATACCAA